AGACCTATTGGGTTCCTAATAGATTTTTGATTTAAAAATAAAACTAAAGATATATCAAAAATTGATATGTCACTAGTTTTTATCCAAAATGCTCTGCCTGATAAGGCTTTACGTTATTCTGATATTTTACTAATTTGTACAGATGATCAATTTTTATATTAAGTATTATAAGTTAAAAATTATATATATATAAATTATTTAATAAATTTATAGGTCTATAATATTTATCTTATACAGTATAACCTGTCAAAACTGATACTGTCAAAACTGATAACCTGTCAAAACTGATAAAAAATTGATCCACCATCTCTTAATTAAATATAGTAATTTTATCTTTTAAACCTGATAACCTGTTAAAACTGATACAAATTTGGTTTACGATACACATCGGTTTTGACAGGTTATACTGTAATATAGTCAAACCTCTCTATGATCACATACTTGGAATACAAAATAGTATGATTGTAAAGAATTGTGACAATTATAAAGGTCAAATTTATTATAAATAATAATAGACTGTTTTTAAAAAAATGAGTTTATAAAGAAAATGTGCTTATACAGTTATATAAAAGGTGACTATAAAGAGATTGACTATACTTGATAAAAAAAAGAAATATTAGTACCTGTTGGAAGTTATTTAGTAATAAATAAATAAAACTATATAAATACTAGTAAATTAATAGATTAATAATATATTAGAATTATGTTAAATATAATATTAAATATAAAACTTTCTATTTATAAAATTTACTAATATATATTCTCAGGAGGTTTTTTTACTGACTTTGACAATCCTGAAGACAAAACAACCTAAAATATTATATATGGGGATAATACAATTTCTACTTAAATTATAGAAATCATGATTTTATAATTCAATATTACAAATATTATCTGTTTAGCAATGATAACTTGTTTTCTGATTGTTAACAGCTTGATACCACTACATGTAAACAAGTACATACTTTTTTGAACCTTCTGATAGATCTATTATATGCTCAAAATAATATTGAACAAGCCTGAGTATATGTCAGTAGTATTGTTATCCAAAATAAATTTTGCAATTATTTTTGCTAACTTTATATATCTCTTTCAAATAAGTAAACCCAAATATTTCATCACCAATTTTTACTCTACTATATATAGTAATGCCAGGTAATATTGATATGGATTCTGGGTGCCCAAAATGTATTTTAGTTAGAGAGATAAATTATTATTATATGCATTGTTATAATAGTTAACTAACAATTCATATAATTTTTTTAGAAGATTATACATTCTCTTTTAGATCCTAATAATTCACCTGAAAAAGGTTCAGAGCTAGTTTCTGAATTTTCTTTAACTTTACAGAAACTTCTAACAATCATTTCTATTATAAATAAAAAGACTACTGATCATCATTTCTTGTTCAATGAACTGCAAACAAGTATGCAAATTGCCTTTTGCACATGATGAAAGAACATTCAAAAAAGAGTATATTGTAGAATTTTAAGAAGTTTAGCCTCAATTCTTCTGTTACTGCTATGAAATAACTCTATAAATTTATTTAAAATCTATTAAGCAATCAGCAGTTTAATACAGCTATTTGAATAAAAAATAATATAGGTGACAAATTTAAAAAATATTGCAAAAAAAATAAAAAAGTAAAAAAAAAAATAAAAAAAATAAAAAAAATAAAACTAAAAAATAAATACTGAAAATAAAAACAAGTGCCACCTATATTATAGCTACTTGGTATTTTTTTAAACAAATACAACATACTTACTAAACCATTTATTTGTTCATAACTAAAGCACCAAAAAGCATATAGTGTAGCAATAATGCGTACTATTACTTTTCCATGTTGGAATATTGATTCTTTGAATAATTATATTTTTACAGTTATTTGTGATTTAATTATAGATATTACTGTGTTTTTGGTATAGTGTGTATAGATTTAAATAGTTTTTCTATGTGCCACTTTAAATGTTTTAGTGGTGTATGTTGTTTAAAGCTTTTTATATAGTAATATATATTTACTAGTTCTTTAGAATATGCTCTAGTAGTTTCTTCATCAATTTCTGTTAATAATGTTGTTGTATCAGTATTTATTTGTAAGTTTGATGTTGGTTTTGGTATCAATAATTGTTCTACTTTTTCTTTTTTTAAAAGGTTCATTATCTGATATTCTACTTGTCATATTAATTTCTTTAGTTCACTGTGATATTTTTTCAGGTATAATTGTTGAATTATCTCTGTTTCTTCTTTTTGATAATTTTTTGTTTGGTTAAGATATTGATAAAGATTTATATGATACTGTAATAATTTTTTTATTTCAGATTCTTGTTTCATTAATAGTGTCTAAATTGTCCTGTAAGTAACTGTTCAATAGTTGTTTAGGGTCTTCATATCTACAATAGTTAAATAGACTTTCTGGTATAGTTTCTTTAACTAATGATTTTATCGAGTCTAAATACTTTGTTTGGTAATTTTTTTTTTACTTATAGTATCTTCTACTTTGTTTCTTTGCAGTTTTAAATAATAAGAATAAATAAGATTATTTAGGGTAATCCAGTTCTTATATTTCTTATTTTTGTAGACGTTTTCAATTGTTTTTTCAAGATTTCAAATTCTTTTTGTATTTTTGATAATTCATATTTTTCTGAAATAATATTTAAATGTTTGAATCCTAGTTATAATTCATCAAGTGTTAAAACATATTTATAGTGAGGTCCTTTAGAGTATCAAAGTCTTTCTTTTAAAGGTAATTATTTCTTCAAATAGATATATTTTTCTGTTAAATATTCTATTATATCATTGTAGTTATTCTGATTATTTAATTTCGTTAATTCTCTTGAGATTCATGTTTTAGTAATTCTTCAAAAGCTTTAATTCTTGCTAAATAGTTTTCATTAATTTCTACTTCTTGTAATTCTGTAAATTCTTCTATTCATTCTTGCCAGAATAATGAGCTAATATTTCTTGCTCCAAAAATCTTTTGATTTTATTATTTCTTTTCTTCAAATTCTTGTAATACATTATTGTATTCTTCAAGAATCTTTTGGTATAATGAGATTATAGTTTCATGATTTGGATTTTCTTTTCACAGTTTATAAACTTCTTGATAATATCTGTTAAAGATTTCTATAGATAATTCTTTTAATTTCTTCAATAGGTATTATTATAGGGTTATATTCAAGTCTTTTAGCTTTTTTTTTCAATTCTCAGATTTTTAGCCAATTAATAGTATTATTTTTATAACTTTTTTCTTTTCAAATATCTCATAATGAAAGATATAAAATTTTTATTTTGTATTTTTCTTTTACTTTGATTATAGCCTTTTCTTTTTGGATTAATATTAAATGCTTTTTCTTCTTTGCTTCGTAGGTGTTCTTTTATTTTCTGATATTTCTTCAAGATATTTAAGTTCTTCTTCTTCGTCTAAGACTATTGAGGCTCCTTCTTCGTATAATACATCTTCTGCTATAAATATAATATTAAACAATATTGATTTTAAAGGTATTGGAATATCATGACTTAAATTGATATCACGTATTTGTTTAAATTATTTTGCTATTACTGTTAAAGTAGTTTCATATTTTTGCATTTCTATGGTAGTTCTGGGTTGGTAGGAATTAAATACTGTAAGTGATATTGCTAATTGCAAGGTTTTTAATATGGTTTCTAATCTTAAATCGTTTGTAGGGTTACACCTTGCTATTAGATTTGCAAGTGTTACTACAATATCTGAACGAATTTCTTCTATTGGTCTTTGGAATATTATTTCTTGGTGTGGATTTATTTCTTTAAAGTAAGTATTCCTAAGTTCCGGATAATGGTTCCAAAAGTATTTAAATGGCCAAAATTCAGGGTTTTCTGATACTGATCTAGTTATTTGTTTAGGATATGTATCCCAGATTCTTGAGTTTTCATCTGATATGTCTGATTCATCAACATAATATTCTTCTGATAAGGTTTTAGTTATAGGTTTCTTATAGTAGTAAATAGTTATTTCGTATTTAATATAATAAATTTCTCTTAAGTATGATAATTTTTAGTTATTAGTCCTGTTTTTCGAGGTCATAACTAAGTCTCTTAGTTTTCTTGTCGTGGTACTATTCCTTCTAAAATTTTATTTAATCCTTTAATTTCTAATAGTAAATTGTCAATTCCTAATTCAAATGGTAACGTATGATCTATTGTAAGATCTAAAGTTTGAAATAAAGCTTATATCTTTGTTTTCAAAGATGTTCTTCGAATTGCTTGTAGGTTTAAAGATATTGATTCGAATAAATATAAGAATTCAATATTTCTTTGAATATTTTTAAGTGCTTCAATTGTTGTGTTTCTCCTTGAAGTAATTATATTTTCAATTGCAGGATGTTTCTCTGGTTGATTATTAATTACTCTTGGTGGGTATGTTATTCATAAGTTTTCTACTTCAGTTGTTGTAACTTTTTCAGCAGTTACGGCTTCTTGAATTTTAATTAATTGTTGCCTAAGTTTTTTAATAAATTAAGTAAGCGTTGTATCTATTAATTTTTCTTTGTTAAAGTTGTTATTTTTTTTAGTCGTATTACAGTATTTGCAACTATTGATACAGTTACTACTGTCACGAGCAGTATAAATCGTGACCACACAAAACGTGACTCAAACGACAATCGGGACCTGGATCGATGCATGATCAATGATCGTGCATACAATGATGATGCACCCAGATTTTGGCATTCACGATCAACCCAAAATTGGGTGAAACCTGCATATTTGGGCCTTATACGATCGCATGATTTATAGACAGGCGCATTACCGAATCGAGAGAAGTTTCAAAATGGCGGATCTGGGTGGGTTTGTGTTAAAGAAAGAAAAGGCGGGTTAGTAAAAATAGAATGGGTAAAAATAGAAAAGTAGAGAAATAATTTACCCAAATTCAGTGAAACTCCAAATCATATGGTTGAATCAATGAAAGAGGTGGGAAAAGATCTAAGAGAAAAAGGAAAAGAATAAAATTAGTTGTAGAAAAATGAAATGTATAAAAGAGAAGAGAAAATTTAATAAAGTACTTATCTTCCATGCGCCTGAAATTATAGTAAGGGCAAAGATCAAGTGTTAGTAAATTCGTCTTTGAAAAATAAACAAAACCCTTAGAGAATAAATTGATACTCGCCAAATCGTATACACGCCTCTATTCAAGCCTTGAAATTGACATAGCGCGAGAATTCTGGTTTTCTAGCGACAGACTCGCCATTTTCGCCCCCAACATTACTATTGATATAATTGTCAGTTGAATTGTTTGGTTAAGTTGTTGAAATAGTTGTTTAGATGTTGCTAGTGTAATATAAATATTGCTCATCCAAGTTATTATTATATTAAATACTGATATTGTTTGATCAGTGGTTATGATCTTAATAATTTCTTTCTTGTATGTGTCCACGATTGCTTGTTTCTTTATTTTTCTTATTTGGTCCTCTTTTAGATTGGGTAGATATACACAGTCAATGTGTTTTCTTGAACAATATAGACAGGTGGTTTCTTGATATTTTAGATAGCGTACTTTCTTTAGTTGACAATTTGTACAGGCTATAGTTGCTTTTTTAATATTTTTCATTCATATAATATAAGGTTATGAGATATGGAATTGTTTGTTTTTGTTTCTTGAGAATTTTGTCCGTGTTTATATAACTTTTCTTTCCTATATATTTTATACTGTATTATTCTAAGCTATTTAATCTGATCCTTCAGAATTTCTTCGTGAAAATTCTTGAAATCTATGAAGATCTTTGTCATGAGGTGGTAGAGTATCTAACTCTGTTTCGGTTAGTGCATATTGATTTAGTATCTGGGCCTTTTTTAGGGCTTCTACGAATTTGGGGTGGTCAAATTGAAGGTTATGGAATGCTTGGTGTCATGAAGTGGTTGCTTGTCTTTTCTGTAGGTCATAGTGATTATAATTTAATATTTGTTCTACTAGTTGGTTTTCTTCAAGTGCTTCTACTTTTCTTTTCAAATTTCGAACTTGTTGTTTTAATTCCTTATTTTCTTCTTTTAATGTTGCTATATCTAATAAGTTTCTTCCACTTAGGGGAAAGAATAGTCTTCGCATAAGTGTTTCCAGTTGGTGTAATCGTTCTTCAACACTTTCATTTTGATTTTGTAATCCTTGATTATTTAAAGTATCATTATCCGTCATTTCTTTATCTTTATCGAATAATGATTCTTTTTCTTAAAGTATACTACTTATTTTTGATTTATTATCGTATGAGGGGTTTATTATATTAATCAAATCTTTCATTTCTTTTTTGTTTCTTTGTTGTGGTTGTATTTCTATATCCCGATTTGATAGTTCATAGTAATGAGGATAAAATTCTGATTTTTCAGGGTCTGAATGATCTTGGTTTGTCTGAAGAGTTTCAGTTATAACAATAGGGTTCTTTTGGGTTCCGATTAGTGGTATTTTATCTTCTATAGAATCTTTTCTTTTTAGTAATTTTCTTGAGATTTCTTTGTATTCTTTACATTGTTCCATAATAAATACGTTTGGTAATTGTTCTATTTTTCTTCAATTGTTTCATATATTGTCCACCAACCATTTTGGTTTTTTCTTCGTATTTCATTTTCTTTGGTAATGTGTGCTTTTCCAAGTTTTTCATTTTGCTTGATCACTTTACAAATTTGGCCCTTTTGTACTGTGCAATTATAGCACCAAATATAGCATTTTTCTACTACGTCTGTTTCTTGGTTGTATTCCCATTTCCATAACTTATAATCTATATCATTTTGCCATTTTTCTAATTTTACTTTGGCTTCTTCTTTTTGTATATCTGTTAATCTATCTTGCATTTCTTTAAAGCATTCTGGACATGTTCCTCCAATAGGTCTTTAGGTGAATAAGTATAATAGCATTCCGAACATAATTGGATTAATCCTCGTTTTTCTGTTATCATTATAGCGTTAGTTCTAGTTGCGTCTATAGGATAATCCTTTTTCCTTTGTCCTTCTTGAAATGAGGCTTCAAAAGCTTGATTTAAAGATGTTTCCATTACTTCATATGTACTTTCATCTTCTGAGTAAAGAGTTTCTTCTCTATAGTATTCTTCTATAGCATCATAATTTTGATAATTGTACTTATTGGTGATGGAGTTAATTTTCATTTGTTTTATCATTTCTTGATTTTCAGGAGTGGTCCATTCTTCTTGAGGATGGTTTTTAAGGAATTCGTAGAGTCTCATTATTTTCGATTCATTCATTGCTTTGTTATTATATACAGTTCTAGTATATTCTTGAATTCTTTTTGTTACTACCACTTTTGTAGAGTATCTATGACAATAAAACATTTCGAATGCTACTTTTTCTTCTTTATCACAAAAGTAATTATTAGTATAATCGTTTGTCATATGTCTTTTCCAATTTTCTTTTGAACAGATAGTACATTTCTTAAAGTTAGTTCTTTCTAATTTCGTTTCTTTATATTGTACTGCTCGTATATCATCTATCAATAGGTGTTCCATATATTCTTGGTAACATCTTTTGCAGACAATATGATCTTTAAGTTGTTGTATATGGTAGTCCAATGGATTAATGTATATTCTTTTTGATAACAAAAATTTATCCATGGTAATAATATTATAACAATTTTCATTACAACAGTAATAGATATTTTTTCCAATTTTTCTAATTTTTTCTTTGCTGCAACCGCATTGTAAAGTTTCATTTTCTGTAAGAAGTTTGGTTATTAGTTTATCTGGATTGATAAATTTTCCTTGTTCGTTATATACTATCTCTTCTATTTCTTCTAAAGTTTCATTTGGGGTATCTGATCGTATTTCTGGTTGGATATCTTTTGAGCTTCCTTCTTTTGGGTCATAGGTTTCTTTAATTATAGTTTGTTTCTTTTGGAATTCTTTATTTTCTTCATTTATAGTTTTTAAGTTTCTATTGACTAGAATCGTTTCGTTAGTACAGTCTTGTGATTGATATCCTAGTTGTTTACATTTCCAACATTCGTTTTGAGGACACTTTCTATTGATGTGACCTTGTTGGTTACAAATTCCACAAATAAAGCGAGATTTATTCTTCTCGTATTCTTTTTCATCAAAAAAGTTTCCTTTAAAAATTGGTTTTGGTCTTCTTAATTGACTTAATGGAAATCTTTTTTGACAATTATGATTCCCGTTGGTTAAAGCTCCGCATTTTTGACATTGATTTCGTTTTTCAAAATGAACTTTTCTTTCTTGGTTCTTCGAATTTAGGGCATTTAAGATCCTTTTCGACTAAAATTTCACATTCAAGGCAGAATAATTGAGGGTCTTGTTCTTGTTCTTGATCTTTGGTTCCTTTAACGATTGATGCAAAAGTTTTCTTTCCTTTTTCTTTATTGTTTCTTTGAGGTTGTTGTTCAATATTAGGAATTTTCTTAATAATAAAATTTTGATTTTCTTGCCTTTGCCATTCATTAATCTTTTGATTTTTCTTTAATTTCTATTCTTCGAATTCAATCAATTCGGTTTGGTCAGAATGACTTTCTTTCAAATATTCTAGCCATTTGTTTTGGGGTCCAGTTAGTTGGCAAATTTCGCAAGTCTTGGATTCCATTTCAGTATTTCAGAGTTTCTTGTTGAAGTTTGTTTTCAGGGTTTCTTAAGATTTATCCATTATGTTTTGGATGTCCTTTTGATCATTTGAATAAAGTTTCTTTTATAGAAGTTTCTTAACTTGGATTATCAATAATCAACAATAAATTTTTATTCTGTATCGTCACTGTTACTCATATGACCTAGTGATTGTAGATCATTTATATAATCTGTATTATGTAGACATTCTAGGAGTGCATCTCAGATGTTTTTAACCTTATTCTGTCTTCTCCAAATTAACTTATTTAGGCATGGTTGTAGATTTTTCTTATCTCTATTTCTTGGTGATATGGCGTCTTTGAACACGCGCCAGTGTGCTTCTATGCCATTTGTGTGCATGATTTTAATCAATCCTGTTTCAGGATCATAATCCGTTTCAGTCATTCCCTTGCTATGGTTAATAGCATGATGTTCTATTCCAAGTTTTCCATAAATGTTCTGATATTCTTTCCACATATCTGAATATATGATCGATTCTGGGTATATATATTTCCAAATATAGTATATCAAAGTATTTTGTGTTCTATCTTTTATGATTGTTGCAAATAATTTCTTTTCTAGAGTTCTTTTTACTCCCCCGAATACCCATACGGCTGTTCCGTCCTTCTTTTTGTAGAATCATAACTCATCTATTTCTACAATGATTCCGGGTCCTCCGATCTTGTTGGCTGTTTCCAAAATCTGACAATTGATAGATTGTCTTATTATCTAAATCTATCGTGTGATTGTTGTTTTCGCTAATCCTATGAATGAACATATTGTTTCATGTTTTGCTTTGATAAGCCATAAATAGGTGATTTTTAGTACTTCATTACTTCCAAGTTTTGAATTCATGAAAATCGTTCCATTCATTAAAGATATTTTCTTTTGGCAATTCTGTTTAGTACATTGGAATTCCTTATTCGAGTATAACTTTATCGGTTTTAAGCACTGTAAACAGTTAATTTCTTTAGGGAGTATCGATTTTTCTTGTAAGAGTTCTATACATAGTTCTTCATTCTGAAAGTATTGTTCCAATTCTTGATACGTAGGTACTTTCATCCTTAATTTTTCTATTTTTGTTTCTTTCTTGAGATTCGTAAGGGGTAAGTTTTTTAGGAGGTCTTTTATTCATTCTTCTTATCTTTGTAGATCTCTTCTTTATCTTTTACTCCTATTTTTAATATGACTGTTTGTGTTCTATCCTTATCAATTCCCATATGTCTTGATAAGTAATCGGCTATGCTATTATCCTTTCTTTTAATTTGTTCAACAGTCTAATTGAAGTCTTGTAACTTAATTAACCATTTTTGCATAGTGTCATTTCTAACCATTTTTCCTGAAGTATCTGATATTTCCATGTTATCAGTTCATACTATTATTGGTTTATTTCCAATATAATGTTGCCAATTCATTAAATAATAGTATATTGCAAATAATTCTTTCTGGGTTGATCCCCATAGTCTTTGCATTGGTAATAAGGATTTTGATCTAAATTCTATAATTTCTTCTTCAGATTTCGTAGGTTCAGTTTCTTTACCTTTTTCTCTAGCATCTTTAGTTTTGTAATGTGCTAGTTCTGGATTTATTTGTTTTAACACTGCTCCAATTCCATTATCTGAAGCGTTAGTTTCTAGTATAAGTTGGTATCCTTTTTTTGGATATGTTAGAGCTATTGCATTTTTTACTTTTTCTTTTAATGTTTCAAATGCATTTTGACAGTCTTTGTTCCAATCAAATTTTGCATTCTTCTGCAATAATTTATAAATTAGTTCTGCTATTTGTGCAAAATTCTTAATATATCTTCTAAAATAGTTCATAAATCTCGTAAATGATCATACTTCATAGACATCTGTTGGTACTTTTAACTTGTCACATTCTTTAATTTTGACTTGATTTGGGTATATCTTTCCGAATTCAACTAAATGGTTCAGAATTAAAGTTTATTTTACCCAAAATTTACATTTGTCTGGTTTTAGGCTCATGCCCGCTTTTTTAATGCGTTCAAATACCATTTGAAGATGTTCAAAATGTTCTTCTTCCGAATTACTTGCTATTGTCATATCATCCATATATACGTATACAAAAGGTAAGTCTCTGAATATTTCATACATGTATCTCATTATATATGCTGGTGCCATTTTTAATCTCATAGGTAATATTTTGTTGATAAGCTTCTGCAATGTTTTTGATATATTCTTCTGGTTCTGCTTTTCTTATTGAATTGATAATATATGCTTGTATTATCGTTGATTTAGTTGATTTTCTTTTATCAATTATCACTTTGCTCTGTGAATAAATCTTTTCTTCTTCTTTAGAAAGTTGAATATACTTAGTTTCTTTTTCTTGTTTTTCTAGTTTTTCTAGTTCTTCAAGTATTTCGTCAGTGGTTTTGAATATATAGCAAGATTCATCTTCTTTGTCTAAGCAATATCTTTCATTAGACATTTGCTATAGGAGTTATTGTATTGGTAACAATTTCTCCTTGTCGAAGTGTATTATTGATATAGTTATCTGCGATATTAGTTTTCTTCTTAATTCTAGCTTGGTATTTTACAAATATTATTACTTTAGCAATTATTGTAATTGCTATTACTATAATTATGTCTTGGTTTATAACTTTGGTATCGTTAAAGTAGTTTGGTGTTTCAGTTTGAATTGCTATTTGGGTTCCAATTATGGTTTCGATGATTGTAGTTGGTGTTGCTGTGATTATTTCTGTGATTATTACTGTAGGTATATTTATGGTAAATAGTTCAAATTGTTGTCCTTCAACTAGTGTTGCTAATAATAAGATTAATAATAATAGTTTCATTTAATTTCTTCTTTTATCTCCAAATAATGCGAATATTTTGTTGGAGTTAGGTCCTAAATAATTATCTTGTGGTTGATATATTGCATTTCTTCTTTGTTTATTGTATCTATTTCTTCTTTGTTTTCTTTTCTTGTTAAAAATACAAAACATTAAAGTTATAAGGTTGATAAATCAAATAATGTGGTTTCTTGTTGTTGTTAGATTTCTGGTATTTGCGGTGGTTGGTTATTTCGATAGTCTTGGATCCTTCTTGTAATAAATTCTTGATTTTGTTGATGGTTTCTTTGGTGTAATTTCTTTTTATGACAAGTTTTGTAAATAATTATTGAGATAATTATTGATATTATTACAAATATTCCTATGATAGTTGCAGTTATAATTATAGTAGTTGTGGTGTCAAGTTGAGGTATTGGTGTTTCAGTAGTTGTCATTGAATTAACAACAGCTGGATGTTTGATCTTGTTGGTAATATGCTATGTTTGGATATTGTTTATATAGACGTTTCTTATTGCGTTGTTGTATATAGCAAATAATAATTATGGTAAATATCCACAATAGTATTGTGAATATCAAGATTAACAATATTGTTGATGTGGGTGGTTGGAGTATAGAATTGTTGCAGATTATTATACTTGGATTTTCAGTTTGGATTGTTGTCATTAATTGGTTTCAAAATAGTGAATAGTACTATTCCAATTCCAGATATTACTGTTATGGCTAGTATTAC